CCCCCGGACCAAAGAAATACCAGTACAACACACACACACACACTCTCTCTCTCTCTCTCTCTCTAGACCAAGTTATCTATAGCTGTAACTCTATTAACTTGAATTGAGTTATATCTGGAGAAAAATTGGCTCAGTAAGGAAAACTTTCACCTTAGGACTGGAAAAGAGTTGATGCATTATCAAATTTACTATTTCTAGACATCTTTATGCCAATCTTAATTACACTATATAACATTCAAATAAGACTGGTTGTGAGCTCCCTAGGAAAACAGTAAGTAGACAGACTAGGTTAGGTTGACTGACAAAACACCTGTTGGCTTTTAAGGGGAACTTTGCCTGAGTTAAGAATTGAATAAAAATTTAGTCCCTCATCCTGCAAAAGGATTTGAACATGCAAATCCCTGCATTTATGCAGAGCACTGTTGACATCACTAGGGCTCTGAGAGGGCACAGGGGTCTACCTAGGCAGATCAGTTTGCAGGATTGGGGCCTTAATAAAGATTCTGGAATTGGGCACTCTATGTTTATATAAACTACACACATCATCCCAGTCACACATCCCCCCACTTACCTTTGTTATATGTTTCTCAGAAAGAGCTCTTTTTTTCTTGTTAGATACATTTTCATTATGCAAATAACACAGCAATAATTTTAGTTAATGTAGTCATCACTGTTGAAATTGGGTGATGGAATTTGAAATAGCTCTGAGTTTATTTCTGGCTTCCTTAATTGCTTCAGTTGTGCAGGAGGCTTTGTTTCATGTAACTGCAAGCCACTTGGTGGTGGTAGCTCAATTGTTATTAGAGGTAGTCAGTAAAGACCAAGGCCTACCAACCACTTATTTTTTTTTTGGAGGCAGAACAGAGTAGTATGCCATGTAGTGCATAATCTGGCCCATATGTAATAATATTTTACTATTTTTACCAGAATATGGATGCTATAAAAATAAATAATATATCATTATTATTAGGATATTTGTTTGTTTTTTCATATTTTAATGTAATGAAACTATTGTAATTAACTTATTCTATGCATTCCAGTTTTAAAAATAAAATAACTTTGGAATTATTTTAAAAGTTAGGTCTGATCTATTTCTGTAGTAGTCTAGCATGATACATTAAAAATAGGCATAGCAGATATCATTCATTGCATGATCACACATTTGCCTATGTTTTGATTTTGAAATGAAGAACAGTTATATTCAGTGATTAAATCTTGTGTAGCAGAGGTGTGTTCACTTAGAAGGGAGAGGTGAAGTTTTATTAATTGGTTTTCCCCTGTAGGCCTCAATCTTACAAACACTTACACACAAGTGTAATTTTTTATACACGGGAATATTCCCATCGGAAGGAAAAACAAACAGAAAAGCCAGAACTATAAATATTTTTAGATAATTAGCAAACAAGAGAATTAAAATTATTTAACTCTATAATTCACTGTAGTTAATAACTAATGTTTTGTTACTTTTAAACCTGTAGCCCAGGAGTAGGCAACCTATGGCATGCGTGCCAAAGGCGGCACGCAAGCTGATTTTCAGAGGTACTCATAGTGCCCAGGTCCTGGCCACGGTCCGGGTGGTTCTGCATTTTAATTTAATTTTAAATGAAGCTTCTTAAACGTTTTAAAAACCTTATTTACTTTACATACAACAATAGTTTAGTTATATATTACAGACTTATAGAAAGAGACCTTTTAAAAATGTTAAAATGTATTACTGGCACGTGAAACCTTAAATTAGAGTGAATAAATGAAGACTCGGCTCACCACTTCTGAAAGGTTGCCGACCCCTGGTAGCCACTGTAAGGGTGTGTGTGGAGATCTGGTGCATTTGCAGCAGATGCCAGAAGCAATCTGCCTGCAGGGTGCTGTAGAATGCTTTGGCAGGGATTGAGGGGAGCACATAGAGAAGCACCTTTCTGGGAGTATAGCATGCATCTCCCCCACCATCATTTTTCTCAGAACATCACCTAGTGCACTGTTTGGGAAAGAAGTGGTGGCCTTTTTGATGTGTTAAGCAATATTCACAGTGCTGTGATCTGCTACTCTTTCCACTCAAGGAGTTCAAAGAGTGGGATTCTGGCTGTCTCTTGCACAACTAGGGAAGGGCTCCATGTTCCCTCCCCTCATCCTCACCATTTGCACTGGAGCAGCCAGAATCTGTCCCCTAGAGATAATCAATAATGTAACTATATGTCAAAGATAAAAATCTATCCATTTTAGCATAGTTACTCAAAATACAGCTAGCCACCACATCCCTTTCCCTTCTTCCCCTCCTCCACAGACAGGATATATAGGATATCTGCTAGAAGAGTAGAATAGAAGGTTATAAAAGTTAAATATAAATTCACTATAAAGTCAAGCATGTATCTTTCCTTATTTTTACCTTTTCTCTTTTCCTTTAGTCCTTTTTTCCCTTCTCACTTCCAGCTCACCCTGTCTTTCTACAATATCTTCATACTCTTTTTTTTTCTCAGTTCTATCTAGTATTTTCTCTTCTGATTATTCTTTTTTCTTTCTTTAAAAAGCAGCAAACCTTTTCCTCTATTTTTTTCTTTTCTCTTATATTCATTCCATGCCTCATTCTAGTCCATGTGTGCCCATAATCTAGACATTATCCTTTGTTTATATTCAGGTCTAGCACTGCACTAAAGGCATTCTCTATACATATATTTGTTAGTGTTCATATAGGCAAGGCATATGAATTTGGTAACTTTTTTCACTACATTTTATTCAAACTGGATGTAAAATGTAAAAGCTTGCTGCTGTGCAAATGGAAAATCATGTAATCATTTTTATTTATGCAGTGCTAGGTATTAGTGGGCTATTCTTCTCAAAACATGAATTATTTTTTGGTCATTTTGGAGAATTAAATTGCATTCTGTGAAAAACTTTCCTCCTTTTCAAATAAGTCTGTCTTTAAGCTAATAATGAGTTGTTTAGTGAAGGAGGAAAAGCAATGAACTGTTGTTCTTGTTTTACAAAAGATTTATTGTTAAATAATGTTCACTCTTCGGACATTAAAACAAGCCTGGAAACTTTTTATAATCCATTTGTAATGTGTTTTTCCTTTGCCTTTAACACAGCGGAGTGGCAATAAATCAGTATCACATGCAAGAATTTAGATGAAACATCTTTCTTTGTTCCAGGTGCTGGCCAGCCTGCGTACTGTACGGAATAATTTTGCTGCATTAACCAACTTACCAGATCGGGCACCCAACAAGTGAGTGCAGACTCTTTTCCCCTCTGAACTTTCTGAAGTGGTGCTTATTAAATGTTAGAATTCAGGGTGATGTCTTTAGATTTCAGACTGCATCCTGTGCTGTTAGACTTGTAAAAGCCTCAAATGATATCAAATGATATGACCAGTTAATTTTCTATTAATATTTTGAAATAACAGTGTTAAACATTAAAACTAAGCCAACAGCCATCATTTTCTCTTGCAGTACCTTACTTACAATGTGATTATTTAAACTTGGGAGTAACTTCTAATATCTGTGACTTGCATCAAATTAGTCATGTGTAAGGGATCCTGCAACTGTATCCACCAAGTGTGTGAACCACCCATGGCAACTCACTAGCAGGATCTTACCCTAAAATTCTGCCTATTCAGTCCAGGACAGTGAAATCTGTTTGAAAATATATGGTAATCGAGTATTAACATACCTATTGAAGTCTGATTATATAACTGAAATAACACATACATTTTTTTTCCAACATTGCTACAGAAATTAACAACTGTGGAACCTGTTTTACATACAAAAAAAAAGAAATAATGTAATATACAGCTGTAATTCCATTAAGGAGTTCTGGATAGTGGTTAATGTTGTAAATTATGACTAGAACTTGGGTTTCTTGTCACTATATTTACAAGATAGAAGTTGTTTATAGTGCATTGTTAGTTTCTAAAATAATTTGACACTCTTTCATCCTGGAGCATCTTTGTAGACACAGGGAGCAGTTAACAGTGTTGGCATTCATTCCTGTCCTTGGCTTGTTCCTCCATTAAGCCCTGCCTGGTCATGTCCCTGCAAACAACATCCAGCCATCTAGTTGGTAGTCAGCTTCTTGGTCAGACTGACTGTCATCATGCTTGCATTATTTTCTTTGGCATCCTATCACTGTTGGTCTTCTGCAGTGTCATCATCATTATAATATTTTCAATTGTAGCCAATATCCTAATTTCACATCCTACTCTCCTTCTAACGTCTTCATTTGTCTTAAAATCATTCCACTTTACACCTGCCCTTTTTCTCTACTACCTCTGGCCTTCTGATGTCTGTTTCATTTAATGCAGCTGCTTCCATCCATAGAGTAATATAGTTAGTACCCTAGTTTGATAAATTTTCACTTTGGTACCAAACGTAATGTTTTTATCACTCCATAATTTCATCAATTTCTTGCAGCACTTGTAGCGAAGGCATACTTCCTTTTAATCTCATTTTTGATGGAACCATTGGCACTGATTAAGCTTCCTAGATACACATAAGATTCTACTTGTTTTGTGTATCAGAGGGTAGCCATGTTAGTCTGTATCCACAAAAACAACAAGGAGTTCAGTGGCATTTTAAAGACTAACAGATATATTTGGATATAAGCTTCCATGGGTAAAAAACCTCATTTCTTCAGGTGCATGGAAGAAGTGAGGTTTCTCCTTGCATCTGAAGAAGTGGGTTTTTTACCCACGAAAGCTTATGCCCAAATAAATCTGTTAGTCTTTAAGGTGCCACCGGACTCCTTGTTGTACTCGTTTTATGACTTCATCACTATGACATTTATTGTTCCTATTCCAAAATGCAATCACTTCATCTTGGCGCTTATTGTAAGTCCAAGTCAACTACACCAATTTTCCAAGGTAGCAAAGATTATCATAATTAATTCAAACGTGTCTGCCAGTTGTACATAATCTGCATAAATTGAGGATCTTAACTCTAGATTATCCAATGTCAACCCTCTGACTCATCTAACATTCTTAATATTCGGTTTAAGAATAGATGAAAAGCAACGATGCTTCCATGCCCCCTTGTCTTACAGCAAACTTTGACTTGAACCAGTTGCTAAATCTTCCACCAGTTGTTATGGCATTGCATGATTCTTTGTGCATAGCTTTTATAATTGCAATCATATTATCTGGAACTTCGTATGATTTTTCTCCTTTTTCTAATGCTTCCCTCCAAATTAAATCAAAAAGCCTGACTGAAGTAAATGAAAACAGCAAACATCTTTAATCCCCATTCTTGCTTTTTTTCCATCAACTATTGGAGCATGAGTATCTGGTGCAATTTTTGCCTGGTCTGAAGCTGCTGTATTTTCTCACCACTGCTTCCTCTAAAATTGTCCTTACTCTGTTGATGTAGTTTTGTCATGATTTTTGCCTGTACTGACAATAAACCTATGCCTCTATAATTATTTGGATCACCAGGATCTCCTTTCTTCAAAGTTGGTTCAAGTATTGCCATTAGCCAGGCATCTGCTATCTCCTCTTGTTCCTATACCTTCTTGTATATTTTTTCTAGTACTTGGATAGCACTTGTCTTGCTGGCTTTTAGCAGTTCAGCTGTTATATTGTGTGTTCCTGCAACTTCCCCATTTTTTAAGTGCTCCACTCCTCTTTCTCTTTTTCTAATGGTAGTTCAGTGCTGGTCTGTATTCTGTCTTGCACGCTGCCCTGTTCATCTAGCATATCTAGAATGCTTGCATCTGGATGAACTATAAGGTTCAGCTATTTGTCAAAAGGCTTCTTCCCTACTTCCAACACCTTTTTGGCATTTGTTGTCAATCCACCAGTAGCCTTTTTATTGCTTGCGTTATTGCCTTGGTTGTGTTGCCATACAACCTTAGCTTTTTGTATATTGTTTTCATATTTTGTTTTCATGATGCCTTCTCATGATGAGCCTTCTTGAGCCTCTTCTTTTGAAAACTTTTGCTTGTCCATTCTTTGTGATATCTTAATGGCTTTGCATTATGCTTTTAATTCTTCCACTTTCCCAGCAGTCTTGGCTTGTTTACACCTTTCCTGTAATGTTCGTGTTTCATTGCTTGTTCGGCTTTTCCTTATTTGCTTATGCTTTCCAATAATTTCACCCACTGTGTTTTGTATCACTTTCTTGAATATTTCCCATGCAGTCTATGGTGAAATGTCTTCACAAGCACAAATTAATGGCATGAAATGCCCTCCAAGCGCCACCTTGTATCCCTTTTTGGAGAGCTATCCTTTAACTTATCAACAACAAATTTGGTGCCACTAGTACCCATCTTTTTCCTGGACTTAAACTTAATCTTAAACTTTCTCATTAGTGGTTCATGATCACTGCCACACTCTGCACTTCTGTAGACTCTAACATGGACCAGTGCTGTTTGGTCCAATACTATTCATTTGCTTACTATGTCTGCTACCAGCCTTTGCATTCATATCTCCCATTATTAGACTCATATCATAATCAGGAATCTCATTGACAATGCTGTCTGGCTGTTGATAAAATCCATCCTTCTCTTCCTCTTCTGCTTCTTTTGCTGGTGCATAACAGCAGGTCATGGCTATGCATAGTTTGTTGCAGCCAGCAGTAAACCTTGCTGTGACAATCTGTTCAAATGCCAGTTTCCAGCTGTTCACTAAAATAACTTTTTCTTGTTCACTACTAAAGCAACCCCATCTCTGTGTTTCACTTGTCCACTTGAACATTCAAAGTATTTTCCGACTGTCAACTCTCCTGTACCCTCTCAATATGTCTCCTGTATGGCAGCAAGGGAACTGGTAATTTAACTCCCCCACTACTAGTTCAGTCTGGCCTAGAGCAAATAGACTTCTCACATTCCGGCTCACAATACGTATATGTTTAGCCATTATCCAAAATCCATTTCCATTTGTTAACCCTGGATAAAAATCATATGAATCAATTTGTACTGTTTCTATAATAAGTGAGTTTCAAATGTAATGGCTTGTTAGGCCAGTCCACCCTGTCCAGCTCATGGGAATGCCATGGCATAGCCAGCTGGCCTGCTAGGGACAGGTATCACTGATTCCACCCAAGTCTGCTTGCCTTTCTAGGCTAGTGAGCTTGGATTGCTCAGATTTGAAATGAGAGTCTTCCTTCTTCTAGACAGACTTGCCAGAAGAGGCTAAGTGAGCTCTGTTTGCCTCGTTTGAATTCAGAATTCTCCTTCTCCTACATACTGTTGATTTATGCAAGGTGGGCTACTGCCATCCCCCAGCCAGAGGACATGCCTCTATGCTGTAGTATCCCAATGTGAGGGATTTGACGTTAAACAGTTTCTTTTTAGAATGCTGTCTATTTAAATTGTATTCTAAAAGTTTCATATTAGTACCAATTTAATATCAAAGTAATACCAATATGACTGGTCTACCTTATTGTATGCAGTAGGAATTTTCACACAATTTATATTAGATTAGATTAAAAAAAACTAAATTAACAGAACATATATTGGTTGTATAGTCAGCATTCAAAATTAGGAAATACTAGAATTAAGGTTGCCTGTTCCTTCCCCTTTGTACTTTTATTTTATCTTGGTGCATACACGTCACAATAATCTTCAGTCTCTAATTACAGGGTCACATAATTTTTCTATAGGAGCCCTGCCTCATTCAGTGCATAGGATGGAGGGTGCTAAGGGAATGAATCAAGATTTTATAGTATTTAATAAGGTTTGTAGGATCTCTTTGAGGACTTTGGGGGTTTGTACTAGTTATGGTTTGTAGAAATACAACAGTTAAAATATGCTCTTTCTAAGCAATTTCTGATATAGGGCAGATTCCCAGATTTCACTGGGTACAGCAAAATGTGGAGCTTGTCAGAGAGCTATTTAATCTTCTTCCCCAGCTCTGGCTCATTTTAGAACAGCCTGGGGGCTGGTCTAACTGGCACCACCTGGCATATGGTCTCTTGGTAGACCATTACTGGAGTGCACCACTTTCTGTTCCTTCCTTTCTTCTGTCCCTCCCTCTCTCCATCCTCCCCTCTTCCACATAAGCCCTGTGCCACAGGGAAGTTGGTTCTGTTAACCCTGTGCCTGCTGGAGACTCCTCCACACTGAGGGTATCCCCACTAGGTGAGTTAGGGGACATTTCTGTTTCTTGTATCAAGTCAGAAAATCTGCCCCCATAGTCATCCCAGTTACCGGAGAAAGCATGAAAGAAGATCTGCAGAATAAAACGCTAAGGGGCAGATTCTATGTGTAGCAAATGAAAAATGGCTGAAAATACTGCACAATAGCAATTGAAAACTCAACAATATTTTAGATTGTTTTAGAAATATTCTCTTAATTAAGGGACTTTCTGTAACCAAATATTGCAGTTCCTTTCATGTTTGTTCACTACTTTTACTACTTCATAATTTCTTGCTGTTCAGCTAAAGCACATTTGGGCCCTGACTCAGCAAAACGTTTAAGCCTGTGCTTAACTGCAGTCAGTGGAACTATTCACATACTTACATTTAAATGCTTATTTAAGTGCTTTGGTGAATAGGTATGGAATTACTCACAAGCTGAATGCTTTGTTGAATTCAGGGTATTAAAGAAATACATAAATATACCTAAAAACGATGGTCTCAGTTACACCCAACCTTCAATATTCCCTCTAGGTCCAGGTTCATAATTAATTATGGCATTCTTATCATTCCTTATGCTTCTTTCCACATTTCCCTACACTCTGTAGCCAAGTAGACTAAGAGGGTTAAATTAATGTCATGGTCAATGCCCTTTAATTTCCAAATCAGGGGCATGAAATTCTGGCTCCACTGAAGTCCGTGTGAATCACAGTGTGAATCACTGACTTCATGGGGATGGGATTTCACTCCTGGTCTCCTGGAATTCTGGAAGCTCCAAAGACTCTACTAGCATGTCATTGCAAATAGGGATTGGGTATGGATTAGCTGCAACCATCCCCAAAACTCTACAGTTGAATGAATGTGTTACAACTCCTTTTAAATGTAAGTAAATGTTAACTGTGTTTAAGCACAATTTTTCAGTGCAGTTGTAATGCCTGTAAACTTCCCATGCTGGAGTTCGCAAGCTGTGAAATAATATGAGGTTCATTTGTGAGTTCTGTTCACCTCTGTATATATGCTGAATGAACTATTTTTGTCAGTTTCTATACATTCCAACCCAAAATAATCTCTCAAATAAAAGTGTTTTCAAACAAATGGTTTAAAGAGTGCACTAATATACAAACTTGATACATTTATGCCTTTTTTTCCCATTGTCAGACGGTCACCCATGTGTAACCAACCATCCATCAACAAAGCAACTATAACAGGTAAGAGAGATTAATATAAGCACAAAGTGAAAGTATAATGGTCGTCTGAAACTGAATAATTATTTATAAAATGAAAATGTAATGCAAAAATGTCTGGCTCTTTTGAAATAAAAACAATATATTCTTTTACATCCATAAGTTTATTTTATAAAAAAGGTTTTGGCTAATTTTTACCACAAATAGCAAATTAATTCTTTCCAGTGATGTGTCATATTAGAAATGGATATCTAGATATAGATATATCCTTGGTGTTAATGTGAGTTCATTCCAAAACTTTGTTTTTGAGATGGTGGAAATGTCAATAAACCATGGTCTTTTGTCCTCCATTTCTTCTGCATGTATCCATATGTGACTATCTGGTAATATTGTATATTGATAAATTGATGCACTGAAATGTAGTAGAGGCACAGGCAACAAATTGACCTACTAATTGGAAAGTGGAGTTCTGCAGGCACTGAGGCAATGTCTGGGTATGATTTAGTACCCAGTGTAGATAGTGGAAAGTTTTCAAAAGTATGTAAGTAACTTAGGAGCCTAAAGTTTCCTGTTCAACATTTTTTGTTTGCTTGTTTTGTTCAGATGGGTTCATACTCATTGAGTTGCACTTTGAGTTCAGAGTTTGAGTGAATCCTGATACTTGAAGTGAAGCTCAGCCAAAACCACTAAGTTTGACCTGGTTTAGGGTTGAAGTAATGTAAAATTGCTGTGTTCTGCCTGGTTTCCTTCATAAAGTCTAAATTCCTCCATAGCACTTGGAAGTCAGACGGATGTTCACTGATGCTGCAAATGCTCACCTCGCTTCTTGATTTCATGACAATTTATGCACAGCTCTGCTTCCTGCTTAACACATGTGGATCAGAGTTTGATTGAACAGCTTTTCACTTTTAGGCTTTTTAAAATCCACTTCTTTACACGTTGAAAATCATCCACAATTAAGATTCTTTTATAATAATTCTTAAATGCATGGTAATTAAACAAATGAGAAAAGAAACTAGCTGCATAGATCTCTCATTAATTGTAACTGTTCCCCATGACAACTGTAACCATAACCCCTTGTAATGCACTCTCTGAAGAGATAATATTGGGGGTTGGTTTCATGCTAGCAGCCGTGAGCCATTTATATTATAGATGGCTAGTCTGCTTATTTTTAATTGCAGGTCTTCCCCATTTTTCACACTTTGATTATCCATACTCTATTTGCCTTCAAAGGAGATAGGCTTCAGGTTCTTATTTTTTTTCAGAAATTTTGGCCCCTTCCCATAGATTCAAGGATTCAGAAAGTCTGTAACACAGAAAAATTCCTAATAATAAAAGAAAATATCTGATAACTGTGACTGAAAGCACTCCTATATTCACACCCTACACACTACTGTAATAATATTTGTACAAAATATGCCTTGTTGAGGTATCATTTGAAAACTAATAACTCACTGGTCAATAAGATGGTGAATTGCGTAACAACATTATATGTAAAGTTATGAACATAAGCTGAAATTATGACTTACATGTATTTACCCGAGAAGTCCTGAGAGGGAGTGAACCTGTTCCTCAAAGACAAAGGACAGACTAACTCCTCTAGCCAGGTGTCGTCAAAGTTGATTGGCAAATGTAATGCTGACAGACCCCAGTCATGTGTGGGTGGGATCGAACCTGAGGCCTTTGTAGCTTAGTGCATGAGCCTCTATCGCATGAGCTAAAAGCCTGTAGAACAGACTCATTAATCTCTGTGTGTGTGTCTGTGTGTGTGTGTTTGTGTGAGAAAAAGAAAGAGAGGGAGAGAGTGTGGTCTTGGTGCCACTAGATGGGACAGAACACCACACCTAGGAGGTGTCTGGGTTACATACTTCCCCTAGCTGAGGAAGCGTGTCCCGAGCTTCAGAGACTTCCCAGTTGAAATCCTGGATGAGCCCCCAGTTATAACGCTGACAGGCCCTGGCCGTCGGGATCGAACCTAGGGGTTCTGGAGCTTAGTGCATGAGCCTCTATCGCATGAGCCAAAAGCCATAAGTCTGTTAGCTAAGGCTGTAGAGCAAGCTCATTAATCTCTCTCTCTCTCTCTCTCTCTCTCTCTCTCTCTCTCTCTTTCTGTACGTGGTCTTGGTGCCACTAGATGGGACAGAACACTACATCCAGGAGGTGTGTGGGTTACACAAACACCAGTCAGGTGGCCATTCTTTGGCAACAGAAGGAGGGTAGGAACAGATCTATCTGCATTTTAAACAACATTTAAATAACAACAACGTGGAAACTCTTGCACCATGAGACTTCATGTCTCCATCCTCACAGTGGGAAGGAACTTTATCTAGGGGTAACCCTTAGGAAAATGCATTTCAAAGGGTGATTGGATTAAAAGTGAGGGACAAAAAACACCCCAGGTATTTTCTCTTTCTTTCTCTCCCCATCTCTTTAACCTAAGACGACAAAGAAACCAGCCCTTTGACTTTGGGAGGGCATCCTGACCTGAGAATATGGTTAGCAATGTTGCTGGGAACAAGTGGTAAAGATTTTACCTTGAACAACGTCTAGTTTGTTAAGTTTTAGTTACTAGAAAGTGTTTTATCATTATTTCTCTTGTAACCATTTCTGACTTTAATACCTTATAACTGTACTCACTTAAAATCTATCTCTTTGTAGTAAAAAAAGTTGTATTTTTTAATCAAAACTAATCCAATGTTGTGTTTAAGCTGAATTGTTTGGTAACGCTAATTAAAGTAGCAAACTGTTGTATATTGACCCTTACAGGGGCAACAGATCTCTAATATCTGAACTGCCCTGGAGAGGGCTGGACAGAACACATGTTTTGGGGGAATATTGAGGACTGAGTGCGTGTTGGGGTTACCCTACAGGTGGTAACCAAGGCTTTTGGAAGCCAGATTGTGACTGGAGTGTTGCTGGCAGACTGCAGCTATACACATTGTCTACAGCCAAGCCCTAAGATACAACCGAATTTGCTCCAACCCCTCAGACAGAGACAAACACCTACAAGAGCTTTATCAAGCATTCGTAAAACTACAATACCCACCTGGGGAAGTGAGGAAACAGATTGACAGAGCAAGACGGGTACCCAGAAATCACCTACTACAGGACAGGCCCAACAAGGACAATAACAGAACACCACTGGCCATCACATAAAGCCCCCAGCTAAAACCTCTCCAGCGCATTATCCACGATCTACAACCTATCCTGGAAAATGATCCCTCACTCTCACAGATCTTGGGAGGCAGGCCAGTCCTCGCTTACAGACAACCCCCGAACCTGAAGCAAATACTCACCAGCAACTACACACCACACCACAGAAACATCAACCCAGGAACCTATCCCTGTAGCAAACCTCGTTGCCTACTCTGTCCCCATATCTACTCTGGCAACAGCATCAAAGGACCCAACCACATCAGCCACACCATCAAGGGCTCATTCACCTGCACATCCACTAATGTTATATATGCCATCATGTGCCAGCAGTGCCCCTCTGCCATGTACATTGGCCAAACTGGACAGTCCCTCCGCAAAAGAATAAATGGACACAAATCGGACATCAGGAATGGTAACCTACATAAGCCAGTAAGTGAACACTTCAATCTCCCTGGTCATTCTATTACAGATTTAAAAGTCACTATCATTGAACAAAAAAACTTCAGAAACAGACTTCAAAGAGAAACAGCAGAACTAAAATTCATTTGCAAATTCAACACCATTAATCGGGGCTTGAATAGGGACTGGGAGTGGCTGGCTCATTACAGAAGCAGCTTTTCCTCTCCTGGAATTGACACCTCCTCATCTATTATTGGGAGTGGACTACATCCACCCTGATTGAATTGGCCCTGTCAACACTGGTTCTCCTCTTGCGAAGTAACTCCCTGCTCTCCATGTGTCAGTATATAATGCCTGCATCTGTAACTTTCACTCTATGCATCCGAAGAAGTGAGGTTTTTACTCACGAAAGCTTATGCCCTAATAAATCTGTTAGTCTTTAAGGTGCCACCAGACTCCTTGTTGTTGTTGTAGCTATACACAGACACTCAGGGTGTGACCGACATGTTGTTTGGCTCTTTGTGAGGGCACAGGTTAGGAACTACAATAGCAAAATATTGTGAGGCTCCCTGGGTTATGGGCCAAGCAGTGACACAACCTCTCTCTGGTCTGGATTGCATCCCACAATGTGATGATACCCTAAAGAGAGGTTGTACATGCACATGCGCGCACACACAAGCCAGTGCCTTACAAGCTTCTCTACCAGGGAAGCCCTTGTGCCAATTTCTTTCCTCCAGAGTAGCTGCCCAAACAGCAGGACCCAGGATACTCTCTGCTGGATGCCACTGTTGCGCTCTTTCAATTTCCCACTGATCTGGAGATTTCCCTTTACTTAATCCCCGGAGTGCAATGTGCATGTCAGAAGCAATACATCATTTGAGGTTTGAATGCCTATAAGGTATGAGGTGCAGTCAGGGTGCAATTTAACTAGAAAACTTTTCTGTGCCAGCAAATTTAAAGGGAGCAGCAGTAGAGAGCAGTGAAGTGGAGGGGTAGTTTAATTTCATGTAATGTTAACATGCTCCACCAGAAAGGCCACCAGATCTGCCATGCCCAACCTACATATTAGGGTGGTCGGATCTGAAAGGCCAAATGACTTCAAGGGTTGGGAAAAGTATTAAATCACTGCAAACCTTGAAAAGGATTAGGATTCACTTTGGCTAATGAGTAAGGGTTGAAGCTGGATGGTATTTTGCCTGAACTGGTTTGCCCATCCCTAGACATAATGTTGTATTTGATATTGTTGTTGTTTCTATAGTAACAGACCTTCATGACTAAGCACAGAAGTTTGCATAGATACCTTCCTGGGCCATATAAAATCATGGTAATGCATGTTACACCAAAGCAATGCACCAAGGGAGAAAGGCAGGAAAAATGCTTGTATCATTCTTTCTCGCAACAATTAAAAAAAGCAATCCTTTCTGGCGCCACCTTGCCCCTTGGACTCTTGGCAGAGGTGTTCGAAGTAC